ATTAATTTTCAAGAGAGAGAGGAAGAGAGGGGGAGAGAAACATCAATGTGAGAGAAAAACATCATTTGTTTGCCTCCCGTACAAACCCCACTGGGAACCAAGCCACAACCTAGATTTGCACCTGACCAGAAATCAAACCATTGACATTTTGGTGCATGGATGACAGTCAACCAACTGAGCCACACCGGCCAGGTCTGGATATTATTTCCAATCTTCAACATCTTCTGCAATTACCTGCAAGTTTAACAAATCTTTCTCTTTTTTTAATATAGTTTATTGATTTTACAGAGAGGAAGGGAGAGAGATAGAGAGTCAGAAACATCAATGAGAAACATCGATCAGCTGCCTCCTGCACACCCCGCACTGGGGATGCGCCCGCAACCAAGGTACATGCCCTTGACCAAAATTGAACCTGGGACCCTTCATTTCACAGGCCGACACTCTACCCACTGAGCCAAACCAGTTAGGGCTAACACATCTTTCAATATAGCAATCCCAAATTTTTATAAAATTATTTGACAGGCTTAACTATCAAACAAAAAACAAAAGGTGTACATGGTAGTAAATGGTTAATAAACATGAGTGAACAATTCATAAAAATGTTTGCAAAAATACTTTCACAAAAGTTCAGTGATATATAAGTTAAATCAAGATACCACATTTTTAGCCCAGCTGGCATGGCTCAATAATTGAGCATCAACCTAGAACCAGGAGGTCACAGTTCAATTCCTGTTCAGGGCACATATCCGAATTGCAGGCTCTATCCTGTGTGGAATGTGCAAGAGGCAACTGATCTATGATTCTCTCTCATCATCGATGTTTCGCTCTCTTCCTCTCCCTCTCAGTTCTTCTCTGAAATCAATGAAAACATATTTAAATAAAAAAGACAGCACAGCCCTAACCGGTTTGGCTCAGTTGGTAGAGCATCGTCCTGCAGACTGAAGGGTCCCAAGTTCGATTCCGGTCAAGGGCATGTACCTTGGTTGCAGGCACATCCCCAGTACGGGGTATGCAGGAGGCAGCTGATCGATGGATGTTTCTAACTCTCTATTCCTCTTCCTTCCTCTCTGTAAAAAATCAATAAAATATATTTGGGGGAAAAAAAAGGCAGCAGTTTAGAAAACATTAAATAATATTCCTATCCCTGCGGGAAGCTTACAATATGAAAACAACAGTTATAAGAAAAGTAATAGTTTCCTTGTGGGAGCAATTTTGTATTAACCATCTAAAGCTTTATAAAATATGCTGACATTTTGACTTAGCAATTCCATTAAAAAAAACTTACCTCAAAAAAATAAGATAAGGAGATTAAAAATGGCAGCACAGGGAGGGTTCTCTTCATTTGAAATTCTACATGGCAGACTCCCTCCCTTAATTCGGCCAAAGGGAGAGTTGGGGAAGTAGGGAACTTAGAAATTCAGAAACAGCTACAAAGACTTGGGAAAACTATCCTTGAAGTCCACAGATGGGTTACTGATTGATTGCCCATCTCTCTAGGAACAGCTGTGCATCCTCACAAGCCTGGGGACCAGGTTTGGGTAAAATATTGGAAAAAGGAACCCATACGCCAACCTGGAAGGAACCTTATCTAGTTGTACTAATCACCCTCTCAGCTCTTAAAGTTGCAGGACTGAATACCTGGATCTACCATTCCCATGTGAAAGCAGCCCACCAGCTGGACAATCAAGCATCCATAGTGGAAGGTGACCTCTGACCTGAACATCTTCAAGACGGCGGAGGATCCGGCTGACTGACCTGACTTTGGTATTTCTGAATACGAGTGTTGCCGGATCCCCAGACTAATACTGGGAGGAAAACTTCTCTGCCCTTGTTACTCCGAACTACTATTATGACCCCCTTGGGGAAGATGATGA